ACCTGGGAAATGGGATCAAATGCCCCGCTTGCCCCCTGCCATTTCCAGTCCTGGAACAGAATATCCAGAACCTCTGCAGTGACAAACACAAAAAAGTGCCCTCCTCATCCCTGGAAAGGTCTGAGCAATACAAGTTAGCATGCCAAACCCCTGGGCCCAGTGTCCTCAGGAAACCCTGGGGCAGGGGTTGACTCCAGCCAGGGATCAGTGTAAGGTGCAGGATCCTGCTAGCACAGGAGACTCCTGCTCTCTCTGGAGCTGCCAGGAAGTAAACACTCCGCTGTGCAATTTGTGTGAAAAGAAAATTACCTCTAATTGGAGGGCTGGAATAAAAAGACCTCCCATTTGTAAACAGAGGAGTTGGGGCATCCTGGAGGCACATAACTGGAGCTGGACACAGCAGGTACCTGTTTGCCCTCCTGCCCCACCCTGAGATCACCTCCCCCACCCCTTTGCTTCAAGCCAACTCAGGCAGCACACATGTCCTCCGGGCTCATCACTGTCCTTAACCCTGGGGCACAGTCTAGGAAAAGAGTTTCTCACCTCTCCCCAATCCAGCCTGAACGTTCAACAGATCAAGTGAAGGGAAAAAAAGTACTGGTCTGTTTTATGTCATCACTCGTGTCCCTCCTCGAGGGAGTCTGGGGACTGTTGTTTACTAGCTATCTCAGACACCCCATCTCTGGTGTCCGTGGGGTGGGGGACCCAGGCGAGCCTTGCTTCTCCACATCCTCTAACAACAAACTGAGGCAGACACCCTGACAGAGGCAGTGTGGGTGACATTCTTCACTAGGACTTGGGGTTTGTAATTCTTAGGGACCTCAGTCTTGGGGAAACAAATTCTATGTCAAGGGGCTTCTGTTGTGCATGTTATTGTCCACTCTTGGTTATTGTGTTGTGTTTTTATGTGCACTGGTGAGAAAAGAGGCTCTGACTGATGGAGGTGCCTCCAGGACATTTAAACTTCTGCCCTAACATAAGTGGGTGACTTTCTTTAACCCCTGGCATGTATGATATGCTTACTTAAAGACACACACACAAGCACATGAACATCTAGCCTCCTTTTGGTTGGTAAAATGTGAAAGGTTTATTAAACAGCTCCTTATAAAGGCCTCTTTCTAGGAAGCCACTTGACAAAAATTTTGCGTTAGTACCAACTTTGTCAACCAGACCACTACAAAGGAGAGGAATATGCAAATGAATTGAGCTGCAGAAGAACTTTCCTTCTTCTACAGAAACATAAGCAGCATATATTACTGGAAGAAATGGAAGTTTTGTCTGCTACTGTTTCCTTAGATGAGTGCTGGAGGGGTTTTCCTATTTAAATAGAGTTCTAGAGATACTTTGAAGAGAACGAGCAGGGGATGATAGTTGGGGTAAAAAGTGGGAGAACACAGCTGAAAACACTGGGAGGAAGATAGAACTTGAAGGGAGGAGGACTGGAACAGCAGAAATGTAACCATATCTTCGCTGAACCCTGAAGATAAACGCTTTAATGAATGGACTCCGGGGTCAGAGACTTATCTCAAACGATCCCATTTCTCTCAAGCTGTGAGGGTTGACTTCAGATGATTGTATAATGGTACAACGAAGGAACAGAAACATGATGGTGTTACTTTTTAAGAATATAGTCACACAAAGAAAATAAACACATATGGATATAAAACTCCCTCCCTCTTTGCTTCTCATCCCCTCGGCCCACCCCCCCAGAGTGGAGGTCCCTTCCTTTAGCAAAGCTCTCCAGGAATATCGCAACCATTTTGCTTGATCTGAACGAAAATAGTAGGAAAGGGAAGAAACATAGATAATAAATATTTCTTGAGCACCTAGTATCTTTCAGGTGTTAATTTCACATAATCTTCACAATGACCATTTGAGGTGAGTATTATTATCCCTAGTTTACAGACAAAGAATCCAAGATTTAGGGAAGTTAAGTAACTTTCCCAAGTTTACAAAAAACAGAGAGGGAAAAGGTAAAAACCTACCTAACAGGTACAATGAACACTATTCCGGTGATGGACACACTAATATCCCTGACTTAAGCATTATAAAAGCTGTCCATGTACCAAAAACATTTGTACCTCCTTAATATTTTGAAATAAAAAAACCGAAAACAGACTCCTCAAGTCTGCCCAGAGGCAAGTCTCGCAGGAAACCCCACTATTTGTTGCTACTTGATTTGCACTCTGTGTTTGTATTGAAGAGTATTGTTTACGCTCCGCACAAGCGTATTTAGTTCCCTGAGCTTTTGAAAGAAATGTATCTCTCCTTTGTAAGCCACACGTTAGAAATGAGCATATCCAGATGCATATGCTGTGACAGAGACACAGACTCCTCAGCCTGGCTCACGGAATACTTCCAGAGCTTTGCTTCTGGCCTCATTGAGCTCTGATTCCCTTCTGAACAGTGACAGAGCTCTCTAGGGAACAATGAAATCCTCAGGAGGAACAGACACCATGTGTCCCACCCTGCCCTACTGCATCCCTAGTTAGGCTTCCATTCCAGGATCATGTCTTAGCCACTAGTAATGACATGCGGAATCCATATGTGGAGGAAAGCAATGTTTTACAATGAAGCACCTGCCATCCACTCTCCTAAGAACCTCTGCCCCTTGTAGAATATTCATGCCGCCTTTCTTTGTAATCTCAGTCTGAGTTTCAAAAGATTCCCTAGCAGAGAAGACCATCTAACAGACAGACTATTACACAACGCAGACACAGGAAATTCAGTGGGAGAAAAGAGGCACTGGTTTCTGAAAACTGTAGTCTGTCCACAGTCAAACACCATCTCACATTTCCCAAGTAATCAAAACGGTTCCTTCAGTTAGGTAAATATGTCTGGCCATGTGACCAGGAGCTAAGGGGAATAGAAGAGAAAAGAGAACAGAAAAAAATGTCGGTGGATCTAAGAAGAATTTTCTTCTTTTCAATTTCTCTATTTTGTGTTTGATGAAGGGAGAGAGGCCACCACTATAAAATAACTTTTACACACTTTACTTGTGACTTTCAGGTACATGGACCTGTGACTTTCAGGTACATGTTTCAGGACCTGAAACA